CCCACCAAGCCCCGTCCACCATCTCTCTCTCTCTCTCTCTCTCTCTCTCTGCTTCCAGTAAATAACCTCGGAGCGTCATGTGTTGTGCAGTCTGGATTCATTATCTATTAAATATACATATTCTCCTTTTGAAAAATGGTGCAGAGGAGAGGTAAATTTGCGCCCTATGTAGGAGTCATGACTCAGGCTGTACCTCTTTTGCTGCGTTTATGTGTTCTTATTGATTTAAAAAGAGAAAGACGACCCTGCAGCAGTAATGGAAACTTGTATCAGCACTCTGTCACTGTTGGAAACAATGGGGAGCCGTGTGCAGTAAAGCACAGGATATTGGATTTTCTCTTTTTTCTCCGTGTGCTGCTGTTGCTTGATGTCCTGGCTTGTTGTCTCCCCTGAATCCAATGAATTTGTAAAGAACCATTAAATATGTATAAAGTATATATTGAACACAAAAAAGGGGCTTTTATTCTGATATTTATCACTATTCTCCAGGTAGGGATGTAAGGCAGCTATAATCAATATTTTTACATCACAGATTGATTGCATGACTTGTATGTGAAAGGGGTCGTATGTATCGACGGACACACCAGGAATTCTGTCTTGACAGTGCACTGTATCTCAGCTGCATGGAGGGTTTGTGTCTTTCAGCTTATTGTTTTGGTTCATTAGCCTCCGACTTCACTCTCACAGCTCTCATTGTCTCAGTTTCAATCACAGTAGGCGACTCACAGCAAAATACGCTCTGAGTTTGTTTATTTTATTTGAGTATTAATGAAGGAAAACTAACAAAAATATATAAAAAATTTAAGGAACCATCGTCTGGTATACTGTATATTTACAGACAAAACATATTTCCAGCTGGAGTCCTTGATAAATCATACAATCATTATTGATACATGTTAGAATTCACACCTTTAAAGCTGTTTACTTTAGATTTAAAACCAATTTAAAAAAAACACTAAACACACAGATTAAACTCAACATGAGTACAAAACATTTTCATCTTTATCTCAACTCTCCAAATAATGATCAAAGCTCTAGCTAAGTGTAAACCATTGACTGTATGAAGAATGGACAGCAGAATACCTCACCTCAAGTGAAGCCAGAAGACGTATAGCTCCACCTGCTGGATGGCTGCGTTACAGGTCATAAACGTAACCTCCTCTATTTAAACGGATAGGACAATACCATGATAGATGTTAAAACAACATTTTGTGTTCGAGTCATCTTTTTAATGAGAAGTTTCTTACATTAGTTCTTGGATACAATACGAGAACAAAATGCCTTCTCTGGGTTTTTGCTGATATAACTTACAGTTCCCCATCATGCCTTCAAATAACAGTAAAGGACGCTGGTCAAGAAGTTCTTCTAGGTCACCCTTTACCAAAACTGAATAAACGTTGGAAAGTAGACATAGATAGAATAGATTTATTTCAAACTGCTGCCAAAGGTTAAAAAATGTGCTAGCTGTGAACTTACAGCTAGAGTAATAGAAACAGAATAAAAAAGAGAATTTATCCCCAGTAAAGAAACATTTGCAGATGTTACATTACATATCTAATATATTTGGAACAACAGTTCATTAAAAAAACAACTATAAATAACAATAAAAAAGGAAACGTTTAGGTCGTCTGGTTGTAGAAGGTTTTAACCATTTCCTTAATGTTTTTCAATTCAATCTATTTTCTACATTTTCTGCTTTATATTTAAAACTGTATCAGTCATCCAATGATCACAGTCAGTAAATCTTATTATTCTTTCTCAAAAGATTTTTTGTTTGAACCCTTCATGCTCTGTGTCCCTCTGCAGGTGATGAGCAGTCGTTTCCTGCCCTACGAGACCATCGTGACCGATGCCGTCCTCAGCCTGGATGAAGACACAGTGCTGTCCACCACAGAGGTATGATAAAATAAAAACTGAGTATAACGGAAAACTTGTCTTCTTTCCTTTCTCCCTGTCTTTGTGTCTCGACAGTCTGTTTCTCTTGAGACGAAACACAGTCTCCCCATGTCCCCGATGCGACTCTCTGATTGCATTTTCTTTCAATTTTTTCTTTCGCTTTTCTGTTTGTCCCTGATGTTTTCCAGCTATCGCTCTGTAGCTCACTTCTTAAATCGCTCAAACTACTCTTAACTTTAACTCCCACTGCCTCACTTTTTCCCTCCTCTCCTCTGCCTTTATTTCCCTCCCTTTTTTCCTTAACTTTCCATCTTCTTTCTCATGTTTTCACACTGGTAATCGTACTGTATCCTCCAGAAATCCCCCAAACTCGAGAGCAGCACTGTTTGGGGGCGTTTTTTGTTCCACACGCTGTCAGGACTGGTTTTTTTTTTCCCGGGGACGAGTTTTGGCACTGCACCATGGGAAGCCAGATGCTGCTTTGAACAGTGTAGAACTAGATCTCATAAAGGCTGTTTGTGCGGAGGATCAAGATGGCAAGTTAAAGTTGGCACTGAGAGGAAAATCCAGTGTTTGGATAAAAAAACACAAATAAAAACGTTGTAGAGCAAAGGGAACATCAATGAAAGTGAAATGTTAATCATGAAATTAGAAAATGACCACAGTCGGTATCTGTTCAGCCTCTAATGCAGTGGTTTCAACTGGTCTAGCCTCAGGACCCATCAACTCCCTCATGAAAAATGGCGACCCAAATTTCAGATATTTTTAACAATCAGATTTATTGAATGAAAAAAATTGTGTCGTTCTGACCTCAGGACCTGACAGAATAAAGACACAAAATGAAACAAAAATGTTTTAAAAGCGCTTACTAGACTTTTTGAAGCAAAAGTTTTCCAATCACACATTCGCAGCCCACTGAAAAATGGCTCTGCTACCCACTTTTGGATCCCGACCCACCAGTTGAGAAACACTGCTCTAGAGTTGTTCTCCTTAAGAAGAAAGATTTTGCATATTTTTATTGGTCACAATACCACTTCTCCATCATTTCTTCGTCAAAACAATGGTTCAACAACATGAAAAAAGTCTCCTTAGTCATGTACTGTCAAAACTTTCCTTTGAATATTTAGGACAGAATGAGAAACTGAGGCTCAGGACTCCTCTGCTCCTTCAGGGAATGTTTGAATATTTACATTCTGGCAGGAAGAGAAGATAAAAAAAATAACATGAAGTGTGTTTATTAGGGGGTTTTGACCCAGTATTAATTAATAAAAGCACTCTCTCCGTGTAAAACAGTGTGGAATATGTGGTGTAATGAAGAGCGAGCCGTTTGTGGAGCCACAGAGGCCGTTTTGACGTTTTTTACTTTAACGACTTTGATCGCCGCAGAACGCAGAAGTTTGCTGCAGGCAGCTGCTGAGGAAAGACGGCTCCGTGTTTGATGAGCTTTTGCCTCTGTTGTGTTTTTACTACGCTCTGCTCGATTGTATACTTCCTCTGTCGGTTCTCCCTCTGGTCTATTGCCTTCTCTTTTTTTCTCACATAGTAGAAACTGTAAAAAGTTTTTGTAGAAGTGGGAGAAATTAATCCCCACAAAGCTTTTAATTTAAAAAGTTACAGAAGTACCTACCAGCGTAATCAGCCATTTGGCATAAAATACTGATTTGAGAATGGTTTTATTGATTGAAGAAAAATCCCAAAGATTCTGCTGCTACTACTATCACACATCACACATAACATTTCCTGTGACTGTACAGTGGGAGAAGGTGAATGGGTTTCCATGGACTGCAGCATTTGATTGTTTTCTGTCAGTCTGTTGACATTTTTGTTTCCTTACACCCTCCCAAAGTCTAAACCGGGTTCAGTTTTGAGTATTTACTTGATGTTCTAGTCTTCAATTTTTCTGATGTAAATCTTAGAGACTTTAAATCTCCTTTGATTTTGGTGTTCTGTTTTCATCTTCTCTCTTTACTTTCTTTTGGGCTGAAATGTACCACACGTCTTTCTGCAAAGAACAGAGTTTAGCGAAAGTTGTTAACTTAAAGTTCTGATAACTTTTACAATAGCTAGCTAAAAGTAATGAGTTAGTGGTTAAAAAAGTAAGCTTGATTAACTAGTTATACATTAGAGATAGCTAGCTTACAGTCATGAGTTTAGAGTTGATATGGTTAGCTCAAAGTAATAAATAAAAGGTTTTTTATAGCTAACAGCTAAAAACACAAGTTAATTGTTGATAGCTAAAAGTAAGAGTTTGAAAAGTTATCTAGTTAAGTTAGCGTTTGAAAAGTTAGCTAGTTGGCCGATAATAAGTGAACAGCTGAAACAGTTAGCTAAAATAATGATTTAAAAGTAAAGGGTAAATAGATGAATAGTTAGCTTAACGTGAACAGTTAAAGTAGTAAGCCGAGAGCAAAGACAAAACAGTTAGCGAACAATAATGCGTCAAAAATTGAAACTGCTAGCTTAAAATTATAAGTAAATAGTTTAAAAAGTCAGCTGAAAATGTTCGCTAAAAGTTATAAACAAGCTGTTATCTAACAGTAAAAGCAAAGAGTTGAAAAGTTACCTGAAGTAAAGTTAGCATTAAGGTATGAGTCAAGTTAAGATGGATGAAGAGTTGAAATATCTCAAAGTAATGTGTTGACAATTCAAAATTGTGAGATGAAAGTGATGATGTTGATGACAGCTAGTTGAGTTATTTTAACAGCCTTATTGCGATATGAGACATCCTGATAAGAAGGATTTATAAAAATAAATAAAAAATCAAGTACAGCGCTAAATGAGGATAGTCAGCATCTCAAGGGATTCTGTTTTAGCAGCAGGCAACCCAAAATCTACTTATTATATATTTTTAATAGACAAAATTCATCGATGTTGTTGACTAAGCCTTTATTTCATCTCTAACTACAGTATATTACTGTGATTCATAAAATTCTGTATTTCTGTCCGGCCAGGTGGACTTTGCCTTCACAGTCTGGCAGAGTTTTCCAGAGCGAATCGTAGGCTACCCGGCTCGCAGCCACTTCTGGGACAGCAACAAGGAGCGTTGGGGTTACACATCCAAATGGACCAACGATTACTCGATGGTGCTCACTGGGGCCGCCATCTACCACAGGTACAGAGCACTCTTCATAATACCGTCTTCTGATCTATGAAGCTGTTTACCGGCTCCTGAGGCAGTTTGCAATGTTTCCCTCTGCTCCGCTGTCTTTTTCCTTATTTCTGCTCTGCTCTGTTCCCCTTCTGTTACACGGGGATCACAGCCCTGCTTGACTCAGCTCTCCAGTGTTCAGTTGTCTTTCTTTTGATTCAACACTTTGATGCAGTGATCTGTGGATCCTAAAAGGAGGTGTGATGTTCAGTGAAGCACAGCCTCAGGAAACCAATGTTTTGACACTGGTTATGTTTAATCCAAAAAAAATGTCAATTTGTCTCCTACACAGCGTAGCGTAGTTCCTCCGTTTAGTTTGACTAAAGCCCTGTCAGCTTTAATATGACTTCACTCAGCTGTGATGGGAGCAGTCCATTAAGCTGAAGTCAGCCAATCACTGCGCCCGAACGCTTAATCACTTTCAATAAGTCAGTCGTTCAATCCATCCAGGAAACTTTAGCACTCAAGTCTGTTGATGGATTCAGACTTCTTCTACCCTCGGGCTTCAGACTTGTATTGTCAAAGGGTCTAAAAATGTGCTGCATTTAAATGACGTGGTGCAGTTTGTTTGGGACATACACAGCTCTTCAGCAACATGAAAGATCTCCGGGAGCATTTTCAAGCATTTGATCAAAACAAAAACCGTTTGTGGGCAATAAACACCGTTGTGATCAGACGCGTTCAAAATCAATATCAACTTTAATATGTGCAATTAGGAAGAAATGTAAGAAAAAATGAAAGACCTGAGATTGAATCAGACAAAGCCATTTCAGCGTAAACACAATGTTTTAAAAATAATACTGTACAAACAAGAATTGAATGAACCTGGAAATCACCCTTCAGTCTTCTTAATCTTCCACTGAAATGCCTTTACATCCTCATATGAATGAACACAACAAGTGCCCTCTTTTTATGCACACTCCTTCCTGTCTGCTGTTCCAGGTACTACCATCACCTGTACACCAACTACTTACCCACGAGTCTGAAGAGCATGGTGGACCAGCTGGCCAACTGTGAGGACATCCTGATGAACTTCCTGGTCTCTGCTGTCACCAAGCTGCCGCCCATCAAGGTCACACAGAAGAAACAGTACAAGGAGACCATGATGGGACAGGTAAGGAGTGTACTCAAACCAAACCATCACTGGATATATGAAATATGAATGATCACATTTTTATACCTCGAAGAGTCAGAAGTGCTTTTTGGCAAAGTTACAGACAGCTGCAGGTTGAGAGATGGTTTGCATCAAAGAAAAAGTCATGACTGATGTGATTACAACCTTGGGTCTGAAACAGACAGATTATATAATCGACCTTGATTTTTGTCCTCTTTTTTTTTTTAAAGTGTGATTCATGCCGACTCCAGTGGTGCTCTCTTCACATTGGCGTGTGTCTGAAGGTCTCTTTTTTTCCAGCCAGAACAAACTGTTGCTGGGTTACAAACAGCATGAATTATTAGAATAAAAAAATTCTTTGGAGCGACCCGGGGGTAAACAGGACAAGTCACTTTACAGCAGAGAAACAAAAGCACAGTGGGGAGTCCTGTGGCTTACGTCATAGTTTGTATTCAGGCCGCAGTCTTGCCAAATATAGAGCATGATCCAGCTGATGATTTATTGAGTAGCATTGATGTCAGGCGACAGTCAGTAATGGGTTTCTCTTGTCACAGAGTCTCAGTTGTTGCAGATGATTGTCAGTCGTTTCAATGTTAGGAAAATCTTTCTTACTTCCAAGTTTGAAGTATTTTTTTTTTATCTGATGTACTCCTACATTACTACTACCTCAATAAAAAGGTGTCAGCGGATTTCATGTCGCACAAAATAGTTAAAAATGGGGCGCCGGTGTCCTAGTGGTTAGTACACACGCCCCATGTACGGAGGATAAAGTCTTCCATGTGGACGGCCCGGTTTTGAATCCAACCTGTGGCTCCTTCTCTCTCTCTCCCTGATTTCTCCAAGTTGCCTGTACATTTTCTTGTGTCATTTCTGCACCAATTAATCAACCGATTGAGATGTTTACTTTTATTTTAAATGACGTGTGTTGACATAAAATCTGAATTGCAACTTTTTTTTTTAAAGGTCACATATTAAATTTGTTTTCAACAAGTTTATACAAGTCTCAGAGGTCCCAAAATAAATATCTCTGAAGTTTATTTCTGTAAATCCATGTATTCGATCATGCCTATAAAACCCCTCTATTTCAGCCCTGCTTAGAACAGGCTGTTTCTGTGTCTGTACATTTAAATATGCAAATGAGCTGTGTTTGACCACGCCCCCTCTCTGGAAAGGCTTTGGGTGTCTCGGGCTTTCTTTGCACCCTGCCCTATTGTTAGCGGTTGAAAGGCAGACTCACAGGGCAGAACAAACACCTAGCTGTGGGAGTGTCACCCACATGGGGGAGGGGTTACTGCCCTTTGTGATGTCATGAAGGGAAAATCTCGGCCTGTTTGAGCACACATTTTCTGAAAAGTGGAGCAGGCAAAAGACGGAGAGGATGGACTTTTGTCATCATTGGGGGGTTTGTAGACAGACTAGAGACACATGTTAGAGTTAGAAAAACATGGAGAAGTGGATTTTTAGTAATTATTCACAACTCTGAGTGACTTCTAACGGTGTTAACTTCTCCGTCTTGTGTGTCCTCTTCTCCTTCAGTCCTCGAGGGCGTCTCGCTGGGCCGACCCGGACCACTTTGCCCAGCGGCAGACCTGCATGAACAAGTTCACCAGCTGGTTTGGCGCCATGCCTCTGGTCCACTCCCAGATGAGACTGGACCCCGTCCTGTTCAAAGACCAGGTCTCCATCCTCCGCAAGAAATACAGGGACATCGAGAGGCTCTGACAGGACCGGCGCCCCCTCGGGGGAGACCCCACGCAGGGGGAGGCGCGAGAGAGAGACTCGGTGGAGAGTAGAAGGACCGCAGCGGGACGGACGGCGAGCGACGCGGCTCTGTCTTCCACTCAGCACATTGCCAACGACCACAGCACGGGAAACGGATGAATAGGAAACAAGCAGATGGGCGTTTGGATACGAGAAAAACACACAAACAAAAGCCGCAAACACAGACAGACAAAAGAGGAGTACACAAACTGACGGACACGCCAAACAGCTCTGTGTGGTGTTTTTTCAAATGTGCAAACATGCAGCGCTCACTACTGACGACGAGAACTCTTGGATAGAATATTTTTTTGTACAACATCGACGACATTGACTATTCCTGCTCTCTCGGCACATGTGCAGGATGGTAGAAGAGGGGAGGTGATTGCAAACCTGGCAACACCACTCACCATGAATTGTACCGGTCGACTCTACCCCCCCCCCCCTGCATCAGGACATAATACTGGACTCATAAGCAAACTCCAGCTGTTAGAGCTGATTTGATTTCTGTACAAATCAGCTCGCCTGGTATCACTGTTGACCCTTTCTTCTTCTTCTTCTTCTTCTTCTTGTGAGAGGTTCAAAAGCAGAGAGTCATCACTTTAATGTTTCCACTCTCAAAGGTAGAACATGTAAACAGCAGAGTCCGACCTGTTCTCACGGAGCCCTGACAAGGTTGTGATATCAAAGCAGACATTATTTCCTGAGATTTTAGTAATCGACACACATCCTTGAGCCTGAAAACATCCCGCCGCTCATTCCTCGATATTGCTTTTATAACGGCCTATCTGCTTTTTCTGTTATCACTGAGATAAGTTAGAAAAACATCTCGTTTCATATCCCATTTTCCCCGCTTGTTGTACTTCTCTCATCAGTTTTTTTTCTTCTTCTTCTGCTTTCATCTTCTTTTATTTCTCCCCTTCCAACTCTATGTACTTTCACTCCTCTGTATGTGTGTGTGTGTGAGTGTGTGTGAGTGTGTGTGTGTACAGAGCCTTGAAAAGTTGGCTCATCCAACCATAAGCTCAAGCAGAGTACATTTTCCCTCCGTTGGAATGAGCAAAATGAACATTTCTGGATGAAATGGAGCAGAACGTTGCATTCTAACCCAAACTCATTTCGCCCATTTATTTTTTTCCTTCAAAGTCCTCGGAGCTTTTTTTTTTTACCCCTTAAACGGGCAAAATGGAATCAAATCTCAGACCATAGCAGGTCTTTAGTGACCTGTGTTATTTTACAGGAGTGCTTGTAAAGAGTTTTTTTAATGCTGAGCGCATCAGTGCCAATGTGACATCAGGGTCTGCCTTTAAAAGTTGTTTTATTGCACATTACGTTGCCTACATCGCTTTGAGACGCCTAGATGCTCTCGCGTTTCAATATCGAGTCATCAGTCCGACGCGGGCTCACCCCCGCTGTCGGGTATTTTGTCCCCCTTTTCCGTGACATATCAGAGGTCGTTAAAGTGACAAAAGGTTTTCTCCTCCATTTGTCACTCTAGAGAGATACACGTTTTTTTTTTTTTTCCCGCTTCAATTAGGTGAACCTATTTCATTTGGAGTGCTGTTTTTATTCCCAGGGGACAAGCTGTTGATGAAACACTCACATTATGGACCATTGTGTTGTGAAAGCAGTGACCCACAAACATGACCTGCTAGCTAATGCTAGCCTTGGGAGGACACCTTCCCCCCCACCCCACCCCACCCCCCTCACATCACATCAAACCGGCTGACAGTTTGCACCTTAAATAACGTCGTTTATATTGAACAGCCCGGATCAAAAAACGCTATCTCTCCACCCTTAAGTGATCGTTTCTAAGAGGACACGGCGAGCTGAAACACGGCTGTCATTAGGGACGGCGTGCAGCGTGCGGGGCCGAGAGCACAGGCGGTCCACTCTCACACTTAGTTTGCAGACACTTGAATGAAAGCAGCATGCTTTTAGTGGCCTTTCTGTCGGGCAGACGTTCAGTTTTTAATGTGTCTGCCAAAAGCTGCTCAGTGTGAGTGTGTTAGTCGACATCATCATCAGCACACATTCATCGACTGTTTGACTTTTATTTTCATCCATTTTAAATGTTTTATCTACACATGTTTTATGTTCACATGTATTCTAACGTCAACAAAGAGTCATATTCAAGAAAACTACTGTTTCATATCAAAGCTGGTTTTTATCTTCTTCATGTTTGTTTGTATTCTTTTATTCTGGGACTCAAAGTTTGGATTTTGTACTGGTTTGCCAGGAGAGATTTTATGATCTGTTTTAATGTTCACTCGTCTACGGCGCATGACTCTGGGAAAAAATGTGCTCCTCTTTACGTTTGCATCTGGTCCCGTTTTCTTCCCCGTACTGTTTCAATCCATATCCATAAGTTTTTTTTTTATGTTTGATCATTAGAGTCAATGTTGTTGATCATCTCAATGAGAACCATGTCCCCCTGGCTTTGCAAGATATTCCACACTAAAAAGAGACCATCCAAGCCCGTTCAAGCCCGTGCCACATCTTAGCACTGTACATAGACGTATATTTATTTTTATTGGGAAAAAAAAGAACAAAAAAGGACTGTGTACGATTTGAGATGACGTGGCGAGAACATAAGACTGATCCTGCATCGCTGAGGGGAGTTAATGGTATTTATTCAGTTTATTTTCTACACGCTGTGCACATTAATCCACAAAGATGCCAATAAACAGCTCATATTGTGTTTCACTCTGCAGAGGTTTTCTTGGCCGACGAATCCCGCTCGATTTTAAAACAAAAAAACAAAAAACTTGCATACGGCCGATGATTTGGATTTGGACGCAGCATCTTTGGCTCTCTGCGGGAGTCAAATTGCAAAGTCCCAATAAAAATCTGCGCCAACCGAAACATGGAAAATGATAAGCAGCTGGGTCCTCTGAAGCAGATGGAAACGTTTTTCAGACGCTGCTGTGACATCGTCCCCTCAAGCTCTAAAAGAATGGCTCTGAGGCGGTGACACTTCGAGGGATTTCAATTGGATTTTTTTTTTTCAGGTCAAGAATTTTGGCTCCCAAATCTTCCAGTTGGCGTAGTTTAAAGTTCATCGAGCTCGTTTGGGATTTAGGCCAACCGGGAAAACCTCTGCATCCGCTTCAAAATGCCTCTTGTCATGTCATGTCGTGTGAGCTGGGGGGAACTTTATGCAAGTTATCATTTTGTGCTTCAAAACAGATGGATGAAGGTTTACCCAAAATGTGCCAGGCAGTCGGTGTTTATAGAAAAAGAGTCTGTTCTTGATTTTGTGCCTTTTATCAACATGTGAGTTCTCGACATGGCGAGCGCTGTCGTGTTGTTTTCAAGTCAACGGGCGGCGACAGCAACAGTCCTGCTTTCATACACTGGATGAGTCACAGCCTCCATTCTTCTTAGCTTAAAAAAAAAATGCGCCCCCCCTTTTTCATCCTTGTGTTTTGGACACTGTTGCCAAGGCGACGACGACGTATGACCACTTCCTGTTTGGGATTATTTATCAGAGATTGTCTGCATCACGTCAGCAGTTCCAGTTCTGTCTGTTGATGTGAAACGGACTCGGGTCGGGCCCAGCTGTTCTGATGCCTTCTCCTCCCTCCTACCTTGTAATTAACAGAAGACTTTTATAGAGGTCACAAATGAAATAGATAAATGCCAATTTTGTAAGAATGATTTATAAAAAAAATAAACTCATATTTGATGATAATTGCTTCTCCTTGTGCTGTTTTTTTTTTTTTTTTTAACGTTTGTGTCACTTTATCTGTTTCTGCTTTAGTGGAACGGTAAAGTATTTTAAACGTGCTCAAACAAACTGCTGCTGATTGTCGACCTCCACTACTTTTTATTCACTACAGATTATAGTTGATCTCACTTCTAAATGTCATGGCCAAAATGAAAAGCAACGTGCTCTCCCATGGCATTTTCATTTTACACTGTATGAGACTACAGAGCAGTGGTTTTCAACTGGTGGGTCGGGGCCCAAAAGTAGGTCGTGAAGCTGTTTTCAGTGGATCAGAAATGTCTGCCTTGAAGAAAAAACGTCAAAATGTCTAAAAAGCACTTTTTCAATGTGTTTGTATTGCCATTCTTTTTGTTCTGTCAGATGTTTAGTACCGCCTGAAGTACAAACTCTACCAGTTTTCATGAAGTATCGGTACATTTGAGATAAAAATATCCACACATTTGGGTCTTTGTAAGGCATCAAATTTAAAACTCTGCTGCTCGCTTACAAAACAGACACAAAAACGTCTCCTCCTTACTTTAACTCTCTCATCAGGTCTACACCCCCCCCCTCTACGCTCTACCAATGAAAGGCGTCTGATCCAACCTTCACAACAGGGTCCTAAGTCTCTGACTAGACTCTTCTCCTCTGTCGCCCCCCGGTGGTGGAATGAACTTCCAAACTCCATTGGATCTGCAGAGTCCCTCTGCACCTTTAAGAAAAAGCTAAAGACCCAGCTCTTTCATGAATACCTACTAACTTAATGATGATGGTCTCCATATTATTAATGATGATGATGGTAATGACGATGGTTTTTGTTTGATAACAACGACTTACAAGATGGTTTCTATACTGATTAGAGGTCTCAAGAACTGCCCTCAATGTTGTGCTTTGCCTCTGGTCACTTCCTGTCAGCACCTGTGTGTCCAATCAGACTCAAAGCTGATCGTTTGCTCTTACTGACATTGTTCCCTTTTTTCTAGCTCCTTGCTTGTGTTGTTCTTACTCTCTGATGTACGTCGCTTTGGATAAAAGCGTCTGCTAAGTGAATTGTAGAATTGTAGAAATGATAGTGACAGGTCCTGAGGTTAGACCCGTTGAGAACAGCTGCTGTAGAGAATGGAAACATGAATATCTGAGGCTGATAATAATCCATATCTGAGACCAACACAATAACACATCGACAGATTATCCTTGTCAAACCATAAACAACCTGAAATACACATTTACATTTAAAATCCGAAATGAGGCTCAAACTATGTTACTGTAACACTTAAATCAACGTATTTCATGTGTCCATACTTTGTTGACCCCAGAGAGAATGGGTGACTGATTACTGAGTGTTTCTGCAGTGAAACAGGCCAGATATGAAGTCAAATCATCCGACAATGTAGTGAGTTGTAGTAATGTTGGTGCTTAATTATGGCTAAAAATGCTACACAGATAGTCAGTGGCAGAGTCTAAAATGCTTATTTCGAGATTTGACATTTGATTATTGCATCATTATGCAACTTTTGGTAACGGCCCAAGACTGCCCACGTCTCAAAGTCTTCAAAGAAGAGAAATCAAATCTGTGAGTGAGTATGTGTTTTTTTTCTCCAGAATCACGAGCTATTTATAGTTACTGAAGTAAGTTATTAAAGAGAGTATCTTACTATAGTTGATGCTGAAAACAAACGATAATCAAACTGGCATCAGAACATTTAAAATGATAAAGGGACGACTTCTTTTCAGCTTGGATTACAGTTTTTCAGTCAATGTGTGTAAGTGGTTTGCAAAAAGCGTGATGCTGAGAATGTGCATGAAGTTGTGTAAATTTGGGCTGATATTTTGCCGTCTTCATGTCTTTGTGTTCTTCAAACGAGTCTGACCAAAGCACAGTTTCTGAGAACTCAAAACACCCCAAAGAAACCACTACAACTCCACAAACCACCGTGAGCATGAGCAGAGGATTCATGATTTGATCGACACAATTTAAGAGGTTTTGTCTCCTGCCATTAAAAAATGTCGTTATATCTTAATAACCTTTAAAAGACGGGCATTGCATGAGGGGAAAAACAGCATTTTCAACTCAACTAGAGCAGAGTTAAACAGCCGGGTTTTGACTCAGTTTTGTCAAAATCAAAGACCATGTTTTTAAAGTTTACATAGAATCACTTCAGTTACCCTCTGGACTACAGCGTCACCATGAGTCCTTTCACCAACATGAATATTTCAAGTTCTCTTAAAGTCTTTATATGTGATTTTTCACACTTAAATATAGAAATCAAGTATATCCTCTGGAAATAACTCTGTGAGTCATGACTGTCTACAATGGGTGTAACACCCGAGTCCCACTGTCTGTGATGTTTTCAGAGTCCTATTTTCAGTTTGTTTACATCGCCGGGACGGCCGGCTGACTCCTCCCCTCATGTATAAAAGTTGTTTAATTGAGGGACTAGAGAAAAGAAGAATAACATACTGTACTCACTGCTTAACTGTGTTTCTAGATCACGCTCATTTCAGGTAAATTTACATGCAGTGTGAAGATACCAGCATAATAAAGATCGCTAGCATTAGCATGCTAACACAACAATGCACCGCGAGTTGTTTTGGTTTCATACTGGTGCTCAAGGGCGACATCTGCTGGATCAAAAAATTGCATATAAAGCTTTTAAAATAAGGTTAAAGTCCTCAGACAACATAAGAACTGATGTACATAACAGTGTCTGAGGATTGATTTCCTCCTGAAGCAGCATAAAAGGGACAATGCTGAGAAAAGGACTGACGCTTTGTGTTTGTTTGTTTGTTTGTTTGTTTGCTGTCGCATGCACACAGCGTCAACATCAGCATAACCCTGCACCTTTTTATTCACTGCATCATTTTTTCGTCAGGGTGTGAATGGACAAGTGCTCGACCTCTGCCTCGGCTCAATGAGAGCACACTCCATTTGTTCAGTAATAATAGTCCCTCCATCATGCTGCACTGCCCTCACAGATAGAATAAGCAGGACCTGTATTAGACCACAGAGGAGGGGTTTATTAGTCACTCCTCTAAGCATTGATTTTTTTTTTTTACTCTGCTGAAAGCCCGCTCGCCGCTCCGATGCCGCATCTGTCCTTCTGCGTCTCCCTGAGGACGACAGCCTCATAACACATTGCAGATATGACCCTGGCTTTGCTCTGAATTATTAAACACACCCATATCAGGCACCCATATTCTCATCTGTATCTGTGTGTGTGTGTTTGTGTGTGTGTTTGTGTGTGCGCACATGTACTCAGATTTTAGCTCATGTTTCATCCTGGTATTGAATGAGGTCCTTTGTGAATTCTGCTTGCTCTCTCTCTTTTACTCGTCTTTCTTTTGCTCATTTATAAAAGATGGGCTTTTTTTTTTAAGAGTCGGTAAAAAATAAAAAAAATTAAGTAGAGACCAAAAAGCTCCCCCTGGTTGATAGAACTGGAGTCCCTTCTTTTTTCTTTTTTTTTTAAGTAAGTGGCCCTTACTTCTGAATAATCTCAGAATAGGAAATGAATCCTGCTTGACAAAACTCCAGTCCTACTTTCATGGTTTCATCTTCTTTCTCTTAAAAACGTTTTCCCTTTCTGCTCTTCTGCTAAGATTTAGAAAAAGCTTTGGAGGTTTTCTCTGTTAATTGATTTAGTGCTTTGTACATTAGTCTAAAAATAACCAACTGTTAAGAATTCAGTGTGTGAATTGTTGCCGTAGTTACCAATAATGCTGGACCATAGACTGTAAATATTAATGAGTGAAGCCTGAAACCATTCAAACCTGTAACTAAGAGAAGCGTTTTCGCCGACCTGTAAGTATGAAAACATTAAACTGAAAAGGGTTGCAGTGGATAGATGAGCAGCTGGTCCAACTTTGACTCTTTTGTGACGGGATGGTTTGAGCAGGAGAGATCACAAAACACAATTAGCTCTCTTTTTCTTCATCCTTTTATTTTATTACAACTTTTATTTAGACTTTCTCCTTTTTACGTTTAGATGAAACCTGTACGTTAACAAACATTTGTTGATTTAAATATGATTAGTTGAGCGACTGACTCTTTTTTTTTTAATTACTATTTTATTATTTGATATTTGAAGAGTCGGGGAGCAGGAACTGGTTTGTTGAATGGAGGCGGGAAGGGCTTGGTGTTTTTGCTTTGTTTGTTTATATAACGAGAACCCCTGTGGGAAAAAGTGTTCCCCTTTATGTCTGTGCTGTTTCTGTCCTGACATGTGAAATTAACAAACAACCTCTTTCTCATTTATTTTAGCCTCTGAATGCCTCACTTTATCATGAATAGATTCTGTGGAAACTGTAAACAAAGGCTGTTTCTGCATCGTGCTGTCAATCATTTCGTCTGGCCCCGCCCCCCTCGGCAGCGTTTAAATAAAAAATGTGAGCGATTGTTTAAGCTTTTTGTTTGCTTTTGATAAACTGTATAGGATTAAATATCTACAGAGAGAAAACAGAGAGTCGGAAATGGAAAAAAAAAATCACATCACAAGTTTTTTAGAAAATCACAGCAAGATTTATAGTTGAGCAGAAACCTTTGTGTGTGTGATGACATGTCAAACAACAGTTTCAAACATCTGATCGACGTAGGAAGAATAAGACTCTTTGCCACAGTGTTTGTCTTTCTTATTGAATCTTTTCAGGTGCTGTATCAAAACTTTTCATACAAGGACGCCACACACTTCTAACACGATGAAATAAGTCACTGAAGTTCATGATTTGAGGATTAAATAGAATAAATCAGTGTGTCTCTACTGAGCTAGTACCTACAAATAGATTAAAAAAACATGATATATATATATTCACTCTGATGATTTACTTCTGTCTTAATGCTGATTCAAAATGTAGAATACAGAGGTGGACATCACAAACGATGATGTCACCAGCAGCACATCTGTCTCAGAGTTTTATCGGGTGTCTTGGAGGTTGTCGAGCCCTTCTTTCCTTCATTTGTCTCCTCTCCTTTTTTTTTTCCTCGTCAT